TAAGCTACACATACTTGTGTACAAGTACAGGGTAATTTTTTATCATTTGTAAACATATTTATAATTTGTAAACATATACTGAAAGTGTGTGCAGCCAGCTTCCTCTTCTGTTAATAGATAAAAGTTCTAGGGCATAAAGTCACCTTTTTCTGGAATGCAGTGAAAGAATACAGGTAAATTATTTAACTAAAAGTAAGTTACACATACTTGTGTACAAGTACGGGGGTAATTTTTTATCATTTGTAAACATATACTGAAAGTGTGTGCAGTGAGCTTCCTCTTCTGTTCATTTCTCTTTATCCGTGCAGTACATGCAAGGACATTATGTTATACCACTAAAGTCAACAAAAAGGACCTAAATTGAGAATGAAAACTGATGTATTAGGAGATTTTTTTTCTCAAAAAAGCTCATTTAATTCAGAATTATATATACTATATTATAGACTGCTGCTTATTTTTTTGGGATGTCATGTGTTTGTATTGTTTGCATAATGACTTACAATACCAAAACAAACTGATTCATTGACAAATAACAAAATGTTTGCATAAAGTCAGCACAAGTATCTAATATTTCCCTTTCTGAGGCATTCTTCCAGTCCATGGAATAAGGAAAAGGGTTTGATTTATGGAACATGCAAATAACAAAGGTTTCAGGGACAAGAGCATTATTTGAACAGTTAGGTAGATCTTTCAGATGTTTTAAGAGCAAATAGGTTGTTAGTAGTTAGTTTCTTTTTCTCTCCAAAGCAAGAGTTAAAGAAAATGTTAATGCATCAGTGCACTCAAAGCCCTTAATATGCTGATATCCACCACAGATATTAAAGAGCATTTGAATGAATTAACTAGGTGATTCAGTAGGAAATTTCAGAACATGCTCCCTTTCATTGAATGCTGAATGACTGTGAGCCACAGTACAACACCAACATGTAACTACCTACTTTACATGGCTGGAAAGAACCAGAAAGACAGTATGTCACAGACCTAATGCAAACAGTTACTTCACTGTACATTATTTTAAATGGAAATGGGGGTATTTGACATAACTGTTAAGGGCATGCAATACTAAAATCAACATGAAATCAGGACAAGCTTCAATTGGATTAAGCTCCCTGGTATCTGTTTATGATTACGTAACAGGTAACTGCTGAGCTTTGTCTCCTTTAGATAGTAGTGGCCAGCTGACGGCAAATATCCTGTTTTGATTCCCACTGCAGTGAAGGACCCCAGAACAATTCTAACACAGCTGTGGGGCTGTATTTTGCAGGTTTGCTGACCCTTGTACATGACCTAATTCCTGGGCTGTGCTCCTCAGTTTTATTTGCTCAGACCTCCACTGAGTGATGTCTCAGGCTAAAAGCATGCTAGAAGTACAAATCAGTGCAACTTTCTTGTGCTAACACACATACAACTGCTTGCAACAGCAGAAATTTAGAGGGTAAATAATAACCACACTACATATTATTAACTATCAGTGATGCAATCTTAAATCAGTCTGGGGAACATGCTATTATGATGAGAAACCATTTCTAAATCAGAGTCTGCCCTTGAACCTCATGTCTAAGTGTCCTCCTGAGCAGAGACTGGGTGTTGAAAAGGAATTTCTCCATTTTAAAGAAATAGCACTCAATTTACAAGAAAAAAAAGAAGCAGAAATTTTGAGACACAGTGAAAAGGATAATAATGAAAAAACCCAAAGCATAATGAAGTAGTAGCAGGAAAACACTTTCAATGGCAATATCATAAACTTAAAGATGCCTTGCAGATCATCAAAGAAACTTCAACCACAAACCATTTTGGAAAATAACTCAAATTAACAAAAGAGCTTAGAATAAATAGAGGGTAGGTGGTGGGAAGAGAGAAAAAAAAGGCAGGCATGGTGTAACTACATAGAGGTATTAGTAGGGGATCGATATTTTTGAATGTCCTAGAGTATACTTTGCAAAAGAAAAGTATATGAAGGATTAAACTATATACAAAATAAGTCCATTTAACAAAAAACCTTAGCAGACCTGTGTCAAGGCAAGGTTAGTTTGCCAGTTAAGTTATATGGACTTGGTCAAATGATGGAACTTTTAGGAGGAGAAAAGGAGTTCTGTCCTCATTGTTGTTTTGGTTCTGCTATACTGAAACTAACTAGACTGTCATATCACAAATTCTTATATAGAGCTTAAAGTAGTTTTCTGCTGGTATAAGCAAGTCAATAGAATGACTTTTACTGGCAAAGCAGTGTATTAAAAACCAGTAACTCTTCTGATCATTCCAAATGACATGAATGACATTGTATAAAATTCAGGGATCAAAACTATTTCCAGCAAATCTGTGACAGAGAGAAATAGGGCTCTACTGTCCATCTGTTATAACACTACCATTTTGTTAAAATGTGGTTTATTTTAGCTCTTGATCTCAAATATAATCTAATTCTTACCCTCCGAGGTTATGGGGAATAACAAGAAGTAATTTTCCATAGGTAAGTATATTCCTAATTTTGTTAAATAAAATATATAAATGTGTATTTAGAAGTCTGTATTTAGAGGCACAGAAGTCTAGACTTTTAAATAATACCTACAATGCTGTCATTCAGGGAGGGGAGAAGGAAGAAGAAACAACATGAAAACAACTAACAACGTCTTCAACATAAGTCTCTCAAATACACTGATAAAGGGCTGTAGATTGGACTTCACAAAACCTTAGAGTGCTTCTCTTTGATGGACCAGTTCTAGACCTGACAAGTGTCTCATCTCCTCTAAGTGTCCAGTAATGAAACAGCCTTTTCCATATTGTCTATTACACAGCAATTTTTACTGTGTTTAGTATTACATTGTAATTACTTCCAAAAGAGATTTTCTACTGCTTAAGGTAAACTTGTCTTACTGTATTTTAAATCTTTTGTTCTCATCTTGTCCAGCACAGAAACAAAATGCTTTCTACAGACCCTGAATTTAATTCTGTGTTCTTCAGACTAAAGATGCCTCTATCATCACATGCAACTGAGGACTGACTTCATGTTCAAGTGTAAGCAGTTCCACATTCAACAGAGCAGAATTAAATAATCTAAAATTTATGTTCCCCAAAACAAAAATATTTATTTGGTGGGGTTTATATATTAAATATAATATTCTCCTTCCAAATTTGGGCTGCATAGGAAAATCTTCTATGTCACAAGAAAGGAAAAAAAAATCCTCTGCCAAAACCACACATACCTTTATTATTTTCAATTAAATTACCAAGAAAAAACTGAATACCAACTTCCTTAACAAGAGCTTTTCTGCTCTATAAAGGATCCCAAGTCAAAATCTCCTATTTGGGACTTCTAAAAGCTAAGAAAAACTTTTACAGTGATGGGCAATTTTTTCTGCATCAGACCCACTGATGATTGGGCAAAATCACATGTTTAGTAACAACATGGGCCAGACTAAACACTTTACTTTACGAGGAGCTCATGCAAAATTATGCAGATTCTGCACAGTGCCCAGTGGACAGAGGTGGACATGAATTCTAAAGGCATAATAGAACTACTTCACATCAGGAGAGATGTAGTTTTGAGTACAAAAATTTTAATAGATTAAAATTACCAGTTAGGGTTTCATTGAATATTCAACTTGATGGGTGGCATCATGAAGTAAGTAAAGAACACACTGCTCACGTTTACATGCAATTACATTAAGTAACTGCTTGCAGATGAAGGCAGCTGTATGTATGTAAACACTCAGTTATTAATATGATGTTACAATATTTTTTTAAAAAATCTAGAAAAATAGCTGTATTTCATTCTGAGGGGCTCTATATCAGCTGATTTTTTTTTGCTGTTTTTTAAGAACCATGTTCATAGTATCTGTAATGTCTTGAGCTCAGACTTAAATAGGAATAAACTACTGTAGATCCATCAGGGATACCTCAGCAGAACATTAGTCACTTCTCTGCAAAAAGAGCACAACTTAAGAAAAAGCACAGTTCCAACCAAGGAGCAGCAGGAATTGGGGAGGAATAAAAGAGAAATTATAAACAAAAAAACTCAGGTAAAACCCTATCTCAAAGAGGAAAGTGCATTCTTAGTGCCTTTCTTCAGGCATCCTGCCCCACAATAAATTAAATAACACAACTGCTAAAACCACCAGTATTGACTAAAAAAGCACTATTAACTTCCATACTAGTTAAACATGTACTGGACAGACTAAAATGTAATTCTGTCCTATTCACACTCAAAGGGAGCCTATTTTTGGCCTTAGTGAGCCTAAAATCTTTAAAGCGGTATCATTCTTAGCCAAAAATATGGATAGTGATGAAAAATTCTTTTGTGGAATCACCTTTTTTACACCAGTAGTATTTGATTCACCTAAAATTTTGAATCAAGCTATTGTAATTGTGAAAATACAGAAAGCATCCGTAACATGCCTGCACAATATATGTGACACAATAATATTTCATTTAAATTGTAAACATGTCATGAGACTTATGTGCACCTTAATATAATATCAGAGCAAAAAAAACTTAATGCAGTTATCCACCTTGCAAAAGCAGATGCAGCAGATTAAAGAAAGCAATGATGTTTGGCTGTTTTGTAAAAAAGATATCAGTATTGACACAGTTCTGGTTTGAAATGTGAAAGTTTTGTTGTATTTTCTAATTTATGCCACTGCTTTATTAGCAGTCCACAGAACAAGCAAGAAACAGATGTAATGCTTTTTGGCAAATGATGATGAAAATTCACAACCAAGTGGTAGTTTCAAAATACTTAACACTGCAATGCTATTATCAGCATACTGAGGACTTTTGTAAACAATGAACATCAGCTTGAACCAAAACAAAGGAAGTAGCCAGAAGCACTCATAAACTCCAAGACACAATTTACATGACATACATGAATACAGGAGCAAAAATGTCTACAAATACCAAAGCAGACAAGAATGTACAAGAATGTGGAATACTCATATGAAGAAAAACAAAACTTATAAAGATCACCAGCACAGATGACAAGAAATTCATAAGTTTTTATTTTATACCTTTCTCGTTCTGGTGAATGCAAACTAGTATCTGGTCTCAAGCAGTTGGTACTAGCACTCCTAGCCCTGTCAAGGGAGGGCTGCAGTTCACTAGTGCCAGTGCATTGCATCCAATGGTAGAAGAGAAAGAAAAAGAAAACAAAGAAAGGAATACAATGTTAGATATTAACTCATAAAATAATGCTCTCTTTACAGAAAATGTAGAATCACAATGATTTAATTAAGGAAAACGTAAAAGGGTTGACTGGATGAGAGTGTCAAGATTTGTTTAGAAAATAAAAGCAAACAAAATGCTGCGAGAAATTTTTTGCAAATATCATTGAAATGGTTAAAACTGAATGAGACAGAACAGCATCCACTTGTAAGAAAAGTGGAATGAGAAATACCAAACAATAAAGTTATATCCTTATTAACAGCAGTAAATTTTAAGCCAACATAAAATAATGTGATCCACTATATGTCATGTGAAATCCCTTTATCGTGAAGCTCATTTATTCTGCAAAATCCATATTAGATACCAAACAAGTTGGGGGATTAATCCTCAGTGTCTTACCTAACCAGTAGATCATCTCCAAATTTCGATATTCGTAAGTTAAGGCAATCATGAAGGAGTGAAATATCCTGTCTAATCACGGGTTTGGTCTTAGCACATGCAGGAAGAGTTGAGCTTTGTAAATTAAAATTATTTAAACAAAATGAAAATAAATTTAACATGTAACAGAAATCTCATACATAAACAAAAGAATGTAATAGAGAAAAAAATGCAACATATAATTTTAACAGCGAAGACAACTCCAACCAATACAAAGTAGTTTGGTTTAGTTTTTTTTGTAACATAGATGTTAATTTAAATAACTACATGAAGTTACTTTAGGATTTTATTCCTAATGTCTCAGTCACAAAAATGTATTAAACATTTTGGGGTTTTTTTCTTAGCAAGGGAAGTCTATTTATTTATTTTTTTAAAAGCTAACTACTTAAAGGGGACTCTAAACACTTCTTACCTGTATAGGTTCCAATGAGTACCATTTTCTAGTAAAGGCATCTTGGGTGGTAATGTTTTATAGTGCCTAACAGAACTTCTGGAATGTGGTGGGTCAGAAAAGAACACAGGACAACACAAAAAAATGCCAGAAATAAAAAGACAGGTAAAGGCAAGCCAAGACTGAGCAGAACATAAAATAAATGCATAACATTTGATTTTATTGTATAGCTGTAGGAGTAGATATCTCATCTATATTTTTCTCAAGTAGTGTGACAGCTATCTGGGGGAAAAATTTAGTATTAACCCTTTTCTTATTAAAGTTCATGAACTTAGGCCAATGCTAGTACAGCTCAGATGTTTTCTTGAAATGGAAGTAATATATATTCAATTTATAGATACTTTTAATTAAAATATACAGACTGATTTAAGTTGATATTAAATTTCCTTTTTATTTCTCTTAGTGGTGCCTTACTTAGACCTGCAGAGATTTTTACCTCTTCCATAGCTAAGCATGAAAGTCTCACTAAAATAGGGATATATAGTATCTAAAGTTTAATTACATATGTATTAGCAGTTGGCTTTTTTGAATGTGGAAGTCTTTTGAAAGTGGAGTATAAGCATCAAAATTTACCAGTAATAAATATTATTAGTTATAAGCTAATTAAAAAACTGAGAAGTACTACATCAGCCAATACAGCAGCACTAAGTTGTCACATGACAACTGTTTAATATCATCACAGATTTTAGAGAAGGAAATGTTTATTTTATTTGCCAGCTCTACCCATTGAACAAGAGAGAAATTTAAAGACAGACAGCAGCTGCTGAGTGGGAATTATGGCCATTTAGTGGCGAGGGTTAGTAACAACATTGTCACAATTTTTCACAAACCCTACTAGAGCACAACTATGGAACTACTAGGAGAAGAACCAGCAGGCTTGAGGATTTTGCAGCAGTCTGTCCCGACAGGACATTTGATTCCTGTTAAGCCTTGGACCAAAGCACAGCAGGATCAACATTAGAAACCTGGCTGTGTCACAGACAGATGAATCAACTCTCTGCCTGGAAATATCAGTGTTTGTAAAATCCTGAGGGATTTAACAGAGGAACTTTGACCCTTCTTGTATGGGTTTAGTGGTCACCACTGGTGAATTCTCTATCAGAGGTCACTGTAACATTGCACAGGAGGAATAAAGGAATGGCTGTCATCAGGCCAATCCTGGCACATGAGCAGATATTACCAATCAAAGTAGGGGTGATCTAAGACATGGAATGTGGCAACCCATGATCTATAGCATAGGTACACAACATTTCTATTAGTTAATAATTGCATACAGAGCAACAGGATGGATACCTAGGACTAGGTGCATTAAACCCACCATATATCTTAACTCTGTAGCTTGGACTACCTAATTTCTTTCATTTAACATGAAACCATTAACATTTCTTTCCCATTTTAAGCTGAAACTGTCTCAAGGACTAATTAAACCATTGTTCAGCAAACTGCCTAGAACACAAGGATAAAGCCTTATAACATTTCTAATAGGAATAAATGTTGGGTGACTAGAAGTAAGAAAGGACAGAAGATGGCATAGAACAAATTTTTGCTGAAACTATTTTCAAAACTATGCTCGAGAATGTATATTGCCAGTCTTGGGATATTATTTGGAATTGGGGTGTATAAGCATCAGAGTTACATTTCAAATAATTAATCATTCATCTATGGCTTTTATATTCATCTTCAATACATTATTATAAGTACCATCCTGTTTTATAGTATACCACTACTATTAATTTTAAAAGGTGAAATTTTTGGGTTTTTTGATCACAAAAATACTGTAACAATAAATGGAATAAAGAAAAAGGCAAGGAAGTGCTGTAGGCTCTGAATTCAGTGCAGCTATTTCCTAACTCTGCTGTCCTTGCAAATAGAACACAGCTTGCAAAAAGTTGCACATAACTGCTGTGACCAGACTGGTTTGGGAGATTTGTAAAACTGTTGGAAAGCTAATGGCTGGGCAAAGTGCACCAGAAGTTTATAATGCTGTATTTACTTCATTAATCGAGACTTTAGGCAATGTCATTGAAAAATTGTACTAACAATTATAATCTTTAAGAGGGAAAGGAGAAAGCACAGGGCTGGAGACAGGAAGAAAATGAAGCTACAGAAGATTAAGCAAAAAGGACATGGGAGGAAGGCGGAAAAATTGCTATTATCTGACTATAAACAGACATAAAATAACAAGAATTTAAATAAAGTATTAAACCCTAAAATCTAAAATTTTGAGGAAAAAGCCTTTTTAGCTGAAGTACAAGAGTGAAAATATTTCTACTGATAACTTAAAAAAACAATTTAGCAGCTTCACTGGTGCAGATTTTTTTTGAAAGCTTACATATTTATTATTTTAGTTTTATACTACCCTGCTTTATAACAAAACCCTATCACAGCATCTTCAATACTGCTTCAAATTTGATGATGAAAATTAAAGCAAGCCAAGACACTTTAGAAAAGAAACAGTACTCTGTAGGAGAAAATCCTACATTAAATAAATGAATAATAGCACTAGACAACATGGTTTAACATTTGATGATTTTAAACATTTAGTACTGACACAAAACTCTCATCAACTCCCAGATCCTGAAGGAACAAAGGACAACTACCTGGTTGAATTAGTTGAATGGTTAACTACTTTAACTTCAACCAACATTTTTACTTATTGTAAACAAAAGATGTTCTACACAATGCCATGGATTTTTAACACAGTTAACAGACATGGTGAAAAAAATGGTGGGGGAGCAGACTTCGATTTTTTAGGTAAAGATATTTCAGTCCTGTTAATTTCACAACTCTGTAAAGTGGTAAGAGAGGGAGCTCCTAGCTTTGAAACAAGAGATTAATGAAGACAAGATGGGCCCAAACTACAAAGTTTACATGTGGATCCAATTTATAGAACAATTTTTAGATGCAAAAACAAGTGCTATAAAACCCCTCAAATCTGGGACTTCCAGTAAGCCCCTGTACATCAGTATTTATTCCTGTGCAAGTGACTAAATCAGCATGAGAGTAGGAGTCACAACAAGCAAGGACTGATTAATTGTGCATGGCTGCTATATCAACATAAAAATGCAAATAAAAGAAAACAAAACCAACTAAAAACCAGTGTTTGAAATTATGACAGTGCTGTCATGCATTGGGAGATCAGGACATTTGTGACTAGACAGAAAATCTACCACAAAACACAACTGTAAAACCAAAGTTTCTTCAACTCCTTTAGTCCTTACTACTGAGGTTCAAAAACAGATACACACATCTCAATCTAAATTAAAACAAAGAAAAAAGAACGACTGACATCTGGATCACAATGTACTTGGAAGTTCTTTACGTACTGGGACTAAACAGCACCATGGAAAAAACGCTGGGCACACGAAGTACGCACAACTACCCAGATGTGTTTGTGACTCCCACACGCCTGTATTTACCTGATGGTGTGTAGGCACTCTGCACTTCTTCCTCGCTTTGCTCTGGGCAGCATAAGAAGCTCACTGCACAGACAGGATGGGTGGTGAGTGAAACAGATATAGTTATGAAGCATTAGATGACATGGGTTATGCCAATGATAAGCAAATGAAAACATCAAAATAAATGAGAAGCATTCACCCAGATAGATAGTCTGATAAGACTGCATGTCTCAAAAAATGAGTAAAAAATGCACAAAATAACTACATTTTCAATAACAACATTTTAGTGTGGCACCTCTTTCTGCAATATTTTTCTTTTTAATTCAGAATTACTTTTTCAGAGCTCTTCATGATGAAACAAATAACACAAAATGGCTGCAGTTTTCTAATAACCCCCTGTCTCATGAATTAATTAATGGAGAACTGCTTTAAGAAAGAAAAAAAAAGATGTCTGTTGTTTGTTTTGTGTTGGGTTTTGCGGCTTTCTAAGCTGCAAAACCATACATGTAAAAGCAGTGAAGGTTTGATAATGATTTAGTGCAGGTTGGTTTATGGGAAGAATAACCAGTCACCCTTTAGGGAAAATCAAAAATATATGTTCATTTGAAACACTGCGTTTGGCCAAACATAAATTTGACTTGTTGCTCTCAAAAGGCATTTTGTAATGACAATCCTAAAGAAACAAACAAAAAAGCTAATCAGCCATCAGACTTTTTGTTTCTTGTTCTTTCAAACTGAGGAAAATCGGCCACCTATTCTACTTTAATTATACTGTAAGCAAACAGATACTAGAGCCAGCAAGATGATAAAATTAATGTATATTTATGCCTATGGTAAATATGACTATGACATGAAATATTCCTTGAATTAAGCCTGTACTTTTACGCACTTCAACACAATCAGAAAGACCAAGCTCCAAAACTCCTACCACTGTAATATGAAATTAAAGATAAGCTTCATGGAAACATGCTAATTTTAAAAGAAGCAGGGAATCCCATGAAGTACTATGGCAAAAAAAAAGAAAAAAAAAAGAGAGAAAATATTACAAAACAGATAAAGCAGCAGTTGTTCAACGTGTTTCACACTTCATGTCATTATAAAATGATGCATTTCATTGATACACTATAGGCATTATTTACCTAAAATTCTAAACAGGGCAGATTGAAATAATGCCTTGTGAGTCATATAAGATTTAATTACATCTGGAGCCACTAGCTTGATGCAACAATATGTACTAGAGTTGAACTGAATTTTTAAATTTTCTTTCTAAGCCAGATTTCTATTCATAAGCTCAGAGGACTGGCAGAATTTATATGCATCTTTCCAAATTAGAAACAACCATGGATTTTAGGAAATAATTTACTATTTTCTTTAGAGTTACAAAGTATATGAAAAGCCAACATTAAATCATTGAGTACTTTGTTAATAATTACTTTTCCTAAGCCAAAGAGTATCTATTGTAATTGGCCCAGAGCAAACACTAATAAAAAAGTCATCCTGAAAAGGGATATAAAATAACAAATCCACCATTAAATCTTCTAGTTAAAAAGAAAAAAAAGTAAAAGAATCTATCAAGATGATTACCAGTATTGTGAGAATATGCAGTTCTCTGTTAAATTAAGTCTGTTTTGGGAGACATTTAAAGTAGAGACTACTATTCCCAAACAAATGTTTTCTATACTCATAATTAAGAGATTTTACTTAGGAATAAAATCTTTACCTTTAGGAATAAAAGAAACACCAAAAAAAAAGGGGGAAAAAAAGTGCCATGCTCTTGAAAATTGGACAATGGTTTTCTAATAAAAAGCTTTTCCTAACAGTTTATATATATTCATATATGTGTGTGTACATGTATATAAATATATATAACACTGTTGAAGTGGACAAATAAGTTCCACTGGAAACTTATTGCAACAGATGCTTCTGTAAAAGAGTGGTAGTAACTATTTTTACGAATACCTATATTATGATTTAATATTGATTTTGAACCATTAATGGATCAGTGAGAAAATTATTGAAACTAATCACCTGCCGTAATCTCTGGCATGCAATTATTGGGTAATTCCTCAGCTTTCAAGCCCAGTTTACATTAGATATTTATGTGAATAAACTTGTTTAGGTGAAGGGTTCAGTAAATGCACAACATAGAATATCTACACTACTCTTGATACTAATCCATAATATTTAATGAAGTTGGGTTTTTTTAATTCTTGGATGTGACAGAGGATCTTAACAAAACCTGGTTTGGATCTTTCATATGATGCTATTCTTTTCTATTGAAAGCTGGCAAAACCTGCCAGAATTAAACAGACTTCACAACTGATGAAATCTGGAGGAAAAGAAGAAAAGGAAAATGGGGAAAAGGAGACCACTGCAGACAACATTATTCAAGGACATAAGGACATGGACCCATCTTTAAATCCTGCAAATAAGCCACATACATCCTTCATGTCTGATCTATAAACTTCCAAAAAAGCTTTGTGAACACTGAAAAGAACTGAAGACTCGGAACAAATTCAGCAGCCCACTGCTCATCCCCAAGAAAGGCTCAGTGTAAACCCAGCTCCTCTCCAGCCATAATCCACGCATATATCACCAGTTATGTCCAGGTTTGAGGCTTTACTGAAAGAGAAATTTCTAGACAGGTGTCTATATTCATACTGACAAAAGCTACTTTTTAAAGCCTTTTTCTCTTCAAATCTGATGAATAAGAAATCAATTCAATAAATATCTTCAGGAATCTTTTGAATATAGCACTGTCCAAAATAAATAATAACAGAAAAAAATTGCAACAAGTGGACGTTACTTGAATTAGCCTAAATATAAATCTGACACTATATTTAAAAACAATTTTAATTCACCTATGAAAGAAAATTCAGTGCAAAAATCCAACTTAGTCAATTCTATACCACTTCTTGCCTATTTGAATTTTTAAATGTACCAGATAACTCAGTAATTCCCACACCTATGTTACCACACTACAAAGGCAAAACAGGCAAGATCATATACAAAACTGAACTAACTGAACTCAAAAGACAACAGTCTTTCTGTTGTTTCAAATCTGGCCAATGATTTCCAGAAATTTGTATGATTTAATGTTTACATGTTTTCAGGTCACTATGAAATGTGTGTTCCATATGGAATTTACTGGATTATAGGGAAAGATTTTGTTATACTTAGTTCTAAAAGTAGTAACTTACTATCAAGAAAAAAAAATCAAAGACATTACTGTGAGAATTGATCTTATCTGAATGGTAAGTTTGTAATTATAGTCTAGCTATATGATTTTTTTAAAAGTAAACAACATCCCATAAAGATTGATAATCTCTGTGACTGTCATCAATATTTTTCACAACTGCTGAGCTGAAATACCTTTATAAGCTTTTTTTTTCAGGTATAAACTAAAAAGAAATTCTAATTTCTTCAATTTTATCAGAATACAGACACCTGAAAACAGTGCCTATGAGGGGAGGCCAAGCATTCTTTGAGTGTAGCCACTCTGTGTATTCCAGGGAAAGATGTGCATGTGTCACAGATCTAAGACTGGAAATTTTTGCACACTACAACTAGTACTGCAACTATCCTTGCTATGCCTGGGTAATGTACAAATTTCACCAGAATGTTACATAAGATGCAGGGAGACTGCACTCATAGGTGTACAAAATTTATAAGCATATGAATCCAAACTAGCATGCCTCGAACTCCCAGCTAGGAGGAATTAATGTCTGGTATTTTGCTGGCTAGCACAACTGGTAAATTCTGGTATTACAAGAAGAGCTAGAGCATACATGAAGATGCATGGCTTTCTGGCAAAAATCTCTGGGCTTCATTTGGGAAAAAGACTATCTTGAAAAAACAGACAAAATTCATTTGTCTAGATACCTGCAATTACTGTCAATCCAGTACAGTTTTATCAAAAAAAAGGTATAGATAATTTAACCGTGGCACTAGATCTATCAGTTATGATGAATTCTCTCCCTTCCCCATTGCTATCAGTCACATTTCTAATGAAAATTTGAAAATTAGGCAAACTGACAACACTTCTCAACTTTTTTCCATGTTCAGGCTGACAATGTACCTTTCTTGATCAGACAAATACTGACTATCCATCTCTCTGGATCTGTAATCAACTGGAGTTCTGGAGGCATCATGGTGTCTAGTTGGAGAACGTGATCTTCTCATCTGATGAATTTCATCTAAACTCCTGAAAAGCAGAAGTATGTTTTCTCATGAATAACAATGGATCACAGTACAAGTTGGTTGAAGGAATTCTTTAATCATAAATTATTAATTCATTATTTCTGAAAGAATGTCATTAAAAACTATGCAATTTATACATGTCACTATTATCCTAGAAATATTCTTATGTGGCTTCATACACGATTTTGCCACTGACTGAAAAAATTTCCAAACCTATGTTTCAGTTATAGTACACAGATGATGAACCACAGATAAAATACGAGTAAAAAGAGGTAAGTCTTACAAAGTTATGATTCATCCCATGAGTGCTCTTGAGTGAATAACAAAAGCATATATCAAGTTCAAGTACTGCACTAATAAATTCCAATAGAAAAACCAAGCTATAAAATTGTGAAAAATTTCCAAACAAGAGAAAAGTTAATAATGACACAAACAATTATACAAACATGAAAGCACGTTGAGTTCCCCTTGAGGTGCCTACCTCTGTAATGGCACATTTGGTAAACGTGAACGGGGCCTGCCCTGATCGTCACCACGGTGAGGAGACACAGAACGTGAACGATGATGCGTTGTTGTTCTTTGCTGCTCTGGCACAGTTAGCGTTGTGGATTTACTTTCTCTAGTACTAGACCTATAACCTACTGGCAAGAGGGTAACAAAAGGCAATTAGAGAACAAAGGTCTGGCTTTAAAGAGAATTCAGATGAATAGTTTTCCAAGAGCACCTATCCAAACGCTTACACAGCTTTCAGGTCATCACTCAGATGTTGTACATCCCGATGTATCATGCAGAATAAATCACTAGCATTACCTTTAAATGTCTACATGTACAGAGACTGAAAAAATGAGACTTCTTGATGTACTGGAAGATGTGGAGCAGTTTTCTTACTTGGGGAAGAATATTCTTGGTATTTTGTGTATATACAAAAACATTTGAAAGGAACCTAAACAGTGCAGGTTTATCTCATCTAAAAAATGGAGAACCCACACTTGCATACAACAGCACAGACTCACACAGGGCTGCTCATATAAAAAGCATCTTTCTGCCTCTTGTTTCAGTTAAAGATATTCTCCTACTGAACCTGGCCAAAGCCACTTACTTTAAAAAACTGCCAGGATTTAGAGTATATTGTACTGAATAGTGGGTGCTGCATACTGTGCACAATGTTCTTTTCCAAATATTGTGATTAAACAGAAAACTTTCTCATAGTATTTTTAAATAGGATTAAAAAAACAGTAGGATGTTAGCACATTTTCTATATTTCAACATTGTTGTGACTGTTTCTAGGTAGCACACTCTTTGGCTTGTTATACATTTTGACTCCCATCCTAAAAGAGACAATGAAGCTCAGTGAGATAACAGCTTTCAAAAGGTACCTGTTAATTTTCCAAAAGAACCTAAGGAGATCTGCTCAGACTTCACTTGCTCATTTGTAGACATTTAAATGTGATTACAAGAATCCCTTGACAGAAAATCCCTTAATGATATACAGAAAGCCATCCCTTAAATCATCCTTTAATCACTTTACAAATTCTTTCTTAACTATTGAAATAATAGTTTTTCTTCTTCTCTGAATTTGTCCAGAATTAAAGTTACTGTAATGTGTGATTTTGTTCAGCTAAAAAACCAGCTTCTATCAGAAATGTTCTTTTCATGCTGGAAAAGACTATGATTTTGTCACCCAATTGTTAATTGGAGAAGTTTAATAAATTAAATAAATTGCACTTTTTATGTATCTCATTGCATGGTTTTAACTTTGGGGTCTTTTTCATATTTTATATAATTTGTATAAGTCTTCTGGTTCTTCTCTGGTCTTCTACCAAATTACAAACAGTCCCTCTTTTAAAAGTGTGCTCTCTATGCAGAGTCTGCATGAGGCTTGATCATTATTCAATGACATTTAATAACCTCTTTAGCTGTAAGTTTGAACCCTGATCACAAACATCAAAGTAGCATTCACATTTTTTTCCCAAAAAGTGTAAGAGTTTACCAATGCATCCTAATGGCCTCTAGAAGTTGACAACATGCATGAAATTATCTACTGGGGTTTGTCAACCATTTAACAAATTAGGACTCCAACGTTCTGCAGGATTTGATATGTTGTGATGCTAGAGTACCTTACCTGCCAAAAAAGTGTTTCAGAGTTCTGTAATAAAATTGTAAAGAAACACGAGGATCTCTCTGATCTCAAGACAATGATTGGGTGCAAATTTTGAAGCAAAAGGGGGGCTCCCTTAGGACTTCAATGGAGATTCACAAACCAGAAATTGTTTAGGTCTTTTGTGAGAGGAAGAAAATATATGAAAAAAGGTGGATGTATTCCCTTTCCCAGGGTAACTAAATCTAAGCTGTATTTGCAAAAATGATAATTAATTTTCCAAATAAGCTTATGCTAGAAAAATCTGACATCTCTATCCGTAGGAAGAGCAGTTTATACGCATTAAATACTAAAACCAAAGAAATCCTAAACACCTTTAACAATCTTTAGGCAATTCTAATAAAACACATACAACTTAATTTTTAAAAATGAAATACAAATTTAAATTTAAAATATATTTCTAGAGCTTTTCTAGTCTCCCTAAAAAAATTGTCCATAGGATTATTCTGTAAACTCAGAAACCTAGTACAGAAAGATATTTTATGTTATATACTTTGCACAGCCTAGCTATCTCACCGGGAACAATACCTGAAACTTATGCAGTGTGTGCACACAAAGCTTACAGAACAGAGACAGTAATTCATAGTTCCCAAGTATTATTTCAAGAATTGTCAAACTGGTCACATCACACCCATACTTTCAGTGACCATGACAGTGACAGCAACAGTAACATTTCCTCATAGCCTCAAATACGAAGGCTCTGCTCTTTTCAGGGTGATGAGAGAAAAAATTTGCACAGACCAGCATGATAGCAGCAACCAAGCTGATGGTAATTTATGCAGAAGTTTCTCAGTTGCTCATGGGAAACTGTCAGGTGTGACGGGAAATGAATAGAGGACAGATGATAAAAATGGATCTAGCAAATGTTTGATACCAGAATTATATTATTTGTTCTTAAAGACAATACAGACAAGGAAAACGTAGTGTGTTGATGCCACCCTGCTGCTACAGGAGGAAGGCAAATACATTTATACAGGTTACATGTGACAGAAAAATAAACTGCTCTGAAGAGCTGCTCATAGATTAAACAATGCAGCTTGTTAAAAATAGCATTGGGGATATTGCCAACTCTGTATCAGGGTTTTTTGTTTTTTTTGTTTGGTTTTTTTTTTTTTCTTTTTTATGGTTTTTTTTTGTTTGTTTGTTTTTTTTTTTTTAATTTTATTAAGGAAGTTACTGAAGATTTGGTAAAACAGATTGGATTTTATTAAAACCTTCACTGACCCTTATGGAGTACTGGGATGCCCAGTACAATACAGAAACAGAGTGACTGGTGTAAGAACAGCTCAGGATCACAAACTTACTTAAGAGACTTGAGCATTTCTCATATACGCAGAGGCTGAGAGACTTAAAAAAATATTTTCTTTGTGTAAAGGGATGTCAGCATACCACAAAAACCCTGCCAAAATAATTTTTCTTAAACCTGACCTTCTAATAAAGTTACTTCCAGCTGTTGATATAAACTTTTATGAACATATCTAAGAGCTGATTAAAAAATGAGATGTATATCATTGCAAGGTACTACTAATAAATGAGGATTGTATAATTACATGAAAGATAAGATACATTAATTAGTGATATAACAAAGGAAATACTTTTTTGGAAATATTTTGGAATTTATTGAAGTAGTATTTTTGATGTAATGATCTTTACTTTCACTGACAAGAAGTTATTCTTTACAGCCACTGACAAGTCTAGGAAAATAGTTTTCTTTGTTATTTCTAAATTCTAATACTGCAATTGCCTTAGCAATTGGTAAAACATTTGAAACTATAGTATTATGGATTTTCAAGGAGAGTTAAATTAGGAAAACTATTTTCCTTCATCTTTTTAACTTGCATGGAGATGAAGTGAAATTTTGTGGTTTTACATTTTGTAGTTAAGTGTTTGGTATTAGAAAATGAGCAATAACTTTTGTGAAAATCTTGAGATATTAAGGGGGCTAAATACCTTCATTTTTTTCTCAATACTTCAGGAAAAAGAGCAAATTAATAATTGTCAGGAAGATTCTGCCTGACTAGCCTGATCTCCTTGTATGACAAGGTCACCTTCTTAGTGGGTGAGGGAAAGGCTGTGGATGTTGTTTACTTTAAATTATTAAAACCTTTTACACTGTCTCCCCAGGATTCTCCTGGAGAAGCTGGCAGCCGACAGCATGGACAGGTCTTCAAAGGGAAATATTTTCTTAAATGTTAAGTGTTGTAAATTCAATTTTGATGTTCTTACTTCCCTTGAGAAGTTCCAAAATGGTGCATCACCATATTACATTAAAGGGAAATATGGATATTTTCTGTTCCTTCCCACACGCACGCTGTGCAAGAGAATGAGTGAGAAATCTGAACCAGACTAGAGCTGGGCTGCACTCTGGTGAGGACCATGGTACTAAAGGGCAGGAGGAGGGCAGGGGTAAAGGCCCTGCAGAACAAGAAGGAATTTGCATAGAGCTTAGTTTTAACAACAGAGTATGTTTTATGGAGAAGGTACTCCAGTACTCATTCAGTACAAACAAAGGGAGCAGGCTTAACAATTTAGCCATTAGGCAAGTTAAGAAGGTTGGACAGGAGGGTAGAAATGCATACATATGAAATTGATTTCCAGTCACATTTGTGAATCTGTGCCTGAGGTTCTCAACCAATTCAACAGACATTGGGACTGGAAACCTTTTCCAGGTCTTATTGCAAAACACATTTCCATACACTGTCCAGGCTTTCATAGATTCGTGGCTGATGACTCAAATTTTCTTTATCCTTGTGCCTAAAGTCTAACTCCCTTTAAAGAGTTCAGGTATATGCAAACAAACCCCACACACTTATATGAATTTCCACTTCACACAGGAATCACGAACAGACAAACTCCACTTAGAACTGCCAAACAAATGCATCAATTAAACTCACAATGGACAAACTTGTGCATGGTCAAGTGAACTAGCAGAATGTTTCTGATTAGGTGGACTTCAGAAGGAGCTTCCTCACTATGCTGTTCCATTTTTAATTGGAGACTCTGAGATCATTGCAAATCCAGTTTTAAAAATTAAATCCTGCTATTTTTACAGTGATTGCTGAAAACGTTTGGATTTGTACATTCATCAAAGGCACACTTGAGTCCAAAGAAATGTCAATAAGACTCAGTTACTCAAATGCTGGCCCTGTGAACAAAGTCCATGCAGCTGGACCATTTTGAATACATCCTGAGAGGTGGAAAATAATTCATTTCAAATGGATACAAAAAGGACTGGCAGTGGAAAAAAGCCCCTGTTCTTGACAGAATATACTGAAACTTTAAACATATGTAAGTCTAAAAAGATATACCAGTATCTACACTTTCAACTACCCAAAAAAAAAAAAGCCAAGACCAAAAAAAAAAAGCGAGGAAAAATATTTAGAGCCTTTTATTTATATTTAATTTTACATTCTCACTCTCTCTGCTGATGTAAAACTATCAAATATAACTAGGCACACATGAATGAATTTCTCTCTTAGCGACTGAGGTGCAAAGTATATAAAATAAGAAAAGAACCCAATCAGCATCAAAGGAAGGAGAATTTTTCCCAATTAACATCAAGATGATATAGCATTAATAAGATATGTAATTTATTTGCACAGTTATATCATGGATAAATAAATTGTGAGATTATTTTAAACACAGATTGTGAAGACAGAAAGCTTTCTGAATACAACCATGATTTAATTCAGTGGTTTTCATCAGGAAGATCCACAGAAAAACTTATTTAGTGCTGGCAGTGACATGTGACTCTTCAGTTAGCTTGTGACAATTGGGAAATATATTCATCTGACTTGTGGCAACAGTGAATGAGAACTAGAAGAATGTGGTATCCAAGATAATCCTCAAGATTTTCAGTAAGTAGGAATGCTGAACTACAAGTCAAACCATGACAGTCTCTACAAGTAAATATTTGTGAACATTTAGGGTAATGATAGTTCATGAAAGCTTATGAAAACTATAAAAAATATAGCCATGCTACATGCATCTTAATCTATAGCCATGCATTATCAATAAAGTCCATGGAAGACTGCATTAAATCTGAGTTTCAAGCAAAAAGCAAAATAATTTTAAAAATGCTTTCAATAAAAACTGAAATCTTAACTATTTTAAAATGTGGGAGTCTTTTACATTTAATTTGCATTTTAAATAATGCTTGGAGCATTACACAGTAAGAAATTAACCAGTGGGTCCATATGACGAGTGATATGCAAAATAAATATAAATGAATGAATAGTAGAATCTTTTTAGTTTGCCAGGTATGGGACAGGTACCATGGAATAATCAGGAAAAACTGTTTTTTCCACAATGCACTCTCCAAAACCAGTATCCTCAATATTCCAAAATATTATAAAGATAAATAAATCTAAACAAGCAAAAAAGAAGAAAAAGAAAGCAGGACCATGCTGTTCATCCACGCACCTGGAGGAACAACTCCAATACCATCATCAACATCAAAATCTGAGATGTCACTATCACTGATTGGCCGAGATCCTGCACAACAGTAAGGTAAACAAATACCTGAACATCTGGTCATGTTATAATATGTAAAAGTATGTTCATTCAACACAATAATGAAAGCAAAAAGATGATTTTAAGTCAAAACAATAGTGAAGGAAAACTCAACTGCAGTGACAAACTGATGGTTCAGAAGATAACTGAGACAATTTAAAATCTTACAGCTGCTGCAGCCTCCTTTCCCTTTCTCTTCCTCTCCAGTCCTCAGTAATCCTCTACTAGGATAGTTTATCTCTGTAAGCCTCCAAAAGCAAAACTCAAGTAAAGGAAAAAAAACATTTTTGTGCTACTTCAGTGAATAAGCTGAATCAGCTTGCTGAACAGAAAAGGAGATGAGGCAGCATGTGGTCAGAGAGAGGAAGTGGAAACAGCACTGCCAGCTTTCAGAAAAGCTCAGGTATCTCACAAAAACTAACCTTTCATTTGCTCTCTCTATACACATCCTGCATTTGGGCACCTATGCAGCAATTATAGCAGTAACACATATTTATAGTTCATTCTTGAATGTGCACCGTTTCCCCACGCATTGGCTGGAGTGAATGACTTCCATGTTTTGGAAAAGTCAGAAAAATGGCTTGGAAATGCATTTTAAAATAATTCTCTACATCTTCCATATTTCTAAGTAAATCTTAGTTTAAATGGACAGAGAAACTACAATGTTGAAATATCTCCTTTTAACATGCCTGATACAAACCTGTAATCAGACTCCTGAAAACAACTGTAGCTCCCAAACACATTTATTAATAAAATCTCTCTTTTCTGCAAAAGTACACTTTAATGAGCATATTGGAGGTTAAGACTAACTTTATGACGAAAAGTGGTTTTAAGCCTTGTAAGTCTTTAAGGACTTATTTTTAAAAAATAAAATACTTGTAAATTTTTTAAAATTATCCAATAATTACAAATTTCATCTATCTATTTAAAAAGAAGTTTATGAGAAAAAAATCTTTGAACAATTCTTTTTTTTTTGCTAATGAAAGCCAAATCAATTCCAGCAGGTTTCACACACTTGAAAGCAATAAGTCAGAGTTGTAAGGCTGACATGTAATAATGTCATAATTTAAATTGCCTTTCTGCCACACATTTTCATTACTTTCATTACTTTAAAGACTATGAAATAGTATAGTTTTATTTTATTTAGAATTTAAGTACCATTACACCACATCCAGAACTTCTAATTTAAAAATTAAGAGACCTTAATGGAATTTGGACCTACTTTGTAATTTTTTGCTAGTGCTCTCTCCACCATGAACATGTCTTCTTGGCATGAATGGTGATGGCTGAGGCAGAGGTAGTGAAGATTCATCATGTGTCTGTAGCTTATACCAATGTGGTTCATCATCTAAAAGTGCTGTCTCCAGCTCTATAAGAATCTAGCAGAAAAATCATCAGGTTTCAATTTTACTTTGAAGTCACACAGAGAAACACACAAAATACAAATGCAAATATAACTCAAAACCAAACAATGAACTCAGAAAAAATGTGATTGTATGCATCACCTCTCCAAGAAATTCACTCTCTTCTTCTTGTACTCTTGGCTGATCCCATACTGTGATTTCAAGCATTCGTTCTCTAAAATCTCTACGATGTACATGTGAGTAGAGAAAAGTTTGATTCCACTTTGGCTCTAGACTTTTCTTTACTGTTTTGGTCCTTCTTTTACTTTTATCACTGAAACATAAATATTTTTTTGTAAATTATTCATAGAGATAAATCCAAAAATACCATGTACTCATCAGGATGTAACTGTTTTCGTTTTCTCTTAGGTGATAATGCCTAAAAGAAGTAAGCATTTTCTGCACAGTGGTTCACATTCTTACAAAAGCCCACAAAGTTAAATTGATACTGACTTGCATGATTCAAGTATAATTTTTTGTTATAAATAATCTACCTATAAAAATTGCAAAAATGAGTTCTTCATAAGCATTCATTAAATGTTTATTCAATATATGTATTCAATAAATGAAAACATAATTTTATAAACTGGGATATTGTTACCTTCTGTCTGGAAGAAAATACATTTTTACATAGGGATTTCTGGGGCGTCCATCTACTCTTGGTGGCAAATCTGTTGCCTGTAGAACATTTACTATTAACTGATGTCCCACTTTGTCATACCAGAGTTTAACCTACAGGAATCAATTTAACAGAAAACATTACTGAAAATGGAGAAGAAACAGAATTTTCAGATTGTATCAAAAAGAACCACAATGCAAAAGTAACTGCTGTTTTCTTTTTTTCCTCAGAGACAATGAGATATATTGCATTTAAAATCCCTTAATATTTAATCAGGTTAGATGGAAAATATGATGGTATATACCAAAGACTGTTTTATTTATAACAGCTGAATAAAATTATGGTGCCTGATTATACTTCCATTGTTTATTGTACTCACTGCATAATCTTGGAACTGTAAGTGCACCTAAACCAGCATGTCTTAGCTCTGCACCTTAAAAGCTACATTAAATAGAAATCTCTAACTATCTTATTCCAAGTCATAGTTAAAATCTATCTACTCAGATTTGTGACCTTTTCAAAAGTGCTTATGGAAACAATAACATAGAGCTACATAATTTCTTAAGAGAATCATAATGTTAGGAAATTTTCAAGCCTGCTGTATAGTCCTGAATTAATATGATCAATATAAAAAACAAAAGAATGTAGAAAACAAAGTTTAAGTACCAAGAGTATATTTAATAAGTAGGACTTCAATTAGTATTATGTGAAAGTTCCAAGATGTATCTAAATTAAAAAGCATTACTGAATAGTGTAATGCTTAACAAATATACAGGCCTTTAAATGTTCCCATAAAGAAAACAGTGATACTATGCTTGAATCTGCAGATTACTGGACATGTACAGCAAAGACACTATTTTCAATGCAGAAGCTACAAAATAACAAGTTTCAAGGCACTTTTATGGGCTCTTCTCAATGTAAATTCCTGCACTCTTTGGTGTATTAAGACAAGGATTTCTTATGTCTGCTGTGATTACAGTCATGGCTTGTCAGCACATCCAGAGGCTGTCAAAAAACTTTTGAAAGTTAATCTTTACCAACACTGAACATTTCTCTTGGCCTCACAACAGGCCTTGAGAATGTGCAGGGCTGAGGGACCAGCACTTCATAGATTTCCATTAAAAACCCAAGAAAAGCAAAATATGCTCACAGAAAGCTGCCCTGGTAGGACCTGAGGTGCATCCCGTAGGGCTCCAGGGCTAGTCGGAGATATAACAGAAATAGAAGGCCTTTCCATCTTCTGAGATTCAAATGAACTTGAACCTAAAACCACATGAGAAACACATGAACTTACCTTCCAAAATTTGGATAAATTGTGAACTGCTTTTTCTTTGAATTATATAAAATTGATGTTGAAAATAGAGTGAAAAGACTGGTTTTTTTACCCCTACATCTCAGATTAAGCCTGTCATTTTTTGGTTTATTTGAAAAAACATATAAAAAGAGTGTTCCTCATACATCACTGACAAACCATAGCAGGTGTTTTAAATTTAAAAAAAACCCTGTTTTCTGACTGAATCACACATCTCCCTCCCCATGCAAAGTACTCTGATTCTATGATCCTGTCTTTGATGAATACACCACATCTGTTGTATGGATTCTACTCCCAGTAGCCTCTGATATTTTAATATGAAGAATGCAGGACATGAATCTGGCATGGAGGATATTTCAGCAACTGCTGGACATCCTCAGTTCTCCCCTAGTGAAACAGAGCCCTCACTAATGATATGAGCTTGTGACAAGGGATCACAGCTTCCCTCTCCCAGGGAAGGTTTCTAGTTGCATCTCAGGAAAGGCTCAGATGGGAAAGGACTGGGAGCCCAGGCCCTCAGATACGCTGTTTGAAAACATTCAAATGACATAGTTAAAAAGAACACCAGCCTTTTGAAGTATCAACAAAAAAGTCACCTAACCAAGGTTTTCTTATTAAAAAAAAAGAAAAGAGAAACAACAACTCTGGACTTGGTGTAGGAGGTGAAATACTGACATCACTTGTACCTTTGGCAGTCCCTTATATCTATTTTCTCTCTTATGTTAGGGGAAGTAAATTATTATTTTGGTAGTAACATAACACAAGATACAGAATGAAAATATAGAGTTCTGCTAGCATTTGAAATCTGTATATGTTTAATAAAATCCATATTGCTTCAAATTTAACACACAAGGCCAAAACCCATTAAATTTTGTCATGCAAAAACTTCAAAGTCAATGCAATTTCCACAGATCATCTTTCAGAAATGTCATAGCTGAAACAGTTTTGCTGGGTACAAGATCATGCTTAAAGAAAAGAACAAGGTGTGTACTCACTAGACTCTAATGGGGGGTGGGAAGTCTCGGGAATCCGTGGAATATCACTAAAATGTGAATACATAGCAATTAGAAACAACAGAGACAACCTTTGGCTGTGACAAATACATTGCTGGGACAGTGTTTTAAAAACATAGATCTGTTTCTGCTCTAACAGGTTACAAGGAAAGAAAGATGAAATATTTAAAGACATACTTTTCACTACCATTCATGAAAATCACACTAACACAAACTATGTTCAAGTTAAGGAACTAGCAGATATAACAATACGAGCAGCACAATGTTAACATTGTGGATGGATTACTGGATACTTTTACAACTGGAACAATAAACAAAGAGAAATTTTAGGACAAGAAATATACAGTACATAGCTGTACTTCCTTTGCCAAAAGGAAGTACAGCTATGGTTGTTCAACTGTTTTTTGGAAGAACAAAAATCAAAAAAATAAGACAAAGATTAACTCACTAGTAATTTTTATATAAACGTCTCAAGGAGTTCAGAGAATGAAACTGATGAAAATGTCTTACAATAATAAAAAGGAAAACAAAGATCATTAGCAATGTAAAACAAACAAGTGAATAATGCATTTCTCCAAAGGATAAAAGAAAATGAAAACATGTTACAACTGGGTATGGACATTTTTCAACACATACATATCCAACACATAATAGAGATATAAGTAAGATAAAGTGATTAAGTCCACACACATCTATTAGTGTTTTCTCATCAATAAATTTATTCTTCCATCAAAATCTGGATGATGCTAGTTCCTAGCTCTTTCTATTCTCAGCCATCATTGAAAATACAATACAAGAGCAACAATCATCTGGTATTGCACAAATCTTAACAAATCAGCAGAGCAGGGAAATGAAAACAAAACCCTTCAGTGAATTACTTGAATGTATTTTCGTCCACATAGACTAATCCAAAACTGGAACTGTAATTACATTTCTGAAGAACATTTTAAGTCTATAGTTGAGAATTTTAAAGGTATTCAGGCAGTCTGCTCAGTGAAACACAGAAATCTTTCTGACTTGGAACTCAATAAAACTAAGACTCCTAGGCATATAAAAGTCACTTATGAAAAAGAAACAGACGCTTGTATCAGAAAAAGAATGCAACAGTACCCAAGCACTGAGCCTTAACGTCACTTTTCATGTCCTGAAATTTAAACTTGTGGTGCCTGAGTTTTAAAATAGACTATTTCAGCTCTGCATTAATGTCTCAAATCAGCTTAAACCTCACATCACTAAACAAGAATGTGCTTCTCCTTGTCTTGACTTCATGATTCAAGAATAATGTGGTGTCAAGAAACTCATGGAATTATAGCTGAATTAGTCATTCTTGACATGGCACAGTACTACTCTACAAACACATGAACAGATTAATGACCTGATGCACAGCAGGGCTGCTGCGCAGTCTTCTTCCTCTTAACATTTTCTCTTTTTCAGGTCAGAATTTCCAGGGCATTTCTCCTCAGTCTGCAGTATTTACTTACCATAATCAAACAGATTTTCCTGTTCAATACAATGTTAAGTTTGCAATATCTTCTTGTGCTAGAATATCAACACTCCCATCTGCAGTATAATGCTGTTTGTAATACCATTGCTTTTAGGATGTCTAAGCAAAGGTTCACATGTGCAAGGACTGTTTCAACATGGAAAGTGCCAGACACAGTGCCAAGTTCTATAGTCCTGACGTGATTAAAGAAAGACACTAAAACTAATTCTGTTTGGATTTTTTTCTTGTATTGTCAATAATACAGTAGGGAAAAAAAGGCTAAAAATAAACTTCAAATATTAATTACACATAACACAGTGCCAAGTTTTATAGTCCTGACATGATTAAAGAAACACACTAAAACTAATTCTCTTTGGATTTTTTTCTTCTATTGTCAACAATATAGTAGGGAAAAAAGGCTAAAAATAAACTTCAAATATTAATTACACATTAATAATAACTTAATATCTGATTCATATTTCTGCTAAGGCACAGTCACACTATTACAACCAACAGATCCACAGTTTAAAAGAGGATTAAATGTTGGCATTTTAATTAGAGAATGAACATTCTAAAAGGAAACTAAAATCTAAAACTTTTCAAGTAAGAAAACTAGTCTTGCAGAAAAATTTAATAATAAATCAACATCAGAAACAGATCCACAGTTTAAAAGAGGATTAAGTGTTGGCATTTTAATTAGAGAATGAATATTCTAAAAGGAAACTACAATCTAAAACTTTTCAAGTAAGAAAACTAGTCTTATCTAGCCTGCTTTTAATTTTGTACTACAGAAAATATGCTGATATATGATTTACAAAAAAGCTCTTTAGAAGAAATAGTAGTTCATTACTTAAAATATTCAAAACTAGAATAGTCAAAGAAAAACAAAGTGAAAAGTTGCACAACTGCTTATCCAATACAGTAACAAAATTTTACTCCCCCTTTAGAGCAATATAAACTTGAGAAAAGTAGTGTCAGACACAACTCCAGTAAAGAGGTGCCAACTTCAAACTTTGTCTTTCTATTGCTACCTTCTGTAGTTTTACATGATATTACATATTATTATCTTATGTCTGAGCCTTGCATGCTTCAATGACCATGTAAATTTAACAAAACTGTACCTGAGGTTGAATCTACCCTGTGCAGATATATGGTTTGCGAAAATCACTATTTTGCACAGTAACAGCTATAATTACTCTGAGGGATATAGTCAAGAGGTTGCTCACTGAGGAAGAACCAAATGCAAATGTGGTTGTAAACCATATTTTTTGGGTTGTTCTTGGAAGAAATGCATCATATTCTACACCCCAGAGAGCTTCTAAAGAGTTTCTGAGTATCTCTCCCCAGTGCTCATCCTGCTATTTCCAAAACCTTTCCTTGCCATCAGAACCTGTTGATCAATCTGCAGTTTGCACTAATTACTTGAGCAGCTCTGGAGCTCAGCACTGCCTGGTTTATGACGGAGGTTCAACCTCCTTGCCAGGACCTAGACCACAGCAACCAACCCTGCACAGAGGAACTGAATCATATCAGAGAAACAACAGTTTCAGCAGCATTATCTGTGGAAATCTAAGCAGAGATAGCTAGCATCTGACAAAGAAAACAGAAAAAAATGAAAAAGCATTTGTTTTACCTGCACTATCCCATAGAGCACACAAAAGATGGTGAGTTAGTTACCATGCCACGCTTCTTCTCTGAAAAGTATATTGCCAGAGGACTTTCTGTGCTGTCTTATGTTAACCACCTCTCACATTGTATGCATATTCATAGGTACTTCTTCTCCTTATATTGAGATAGCCAACCCATTAATTCTACTTTTTATAGGTTTCTTATCTACCTTGTGTTGCAGCCATTAGAATTAGTGTCAATTAGTTTCTATGGAGTTTCCCCAGTACTATTGTGGTTATACTGTTTATTGTTGTTATGCCTTTAGCTGCTAATAGTGTTATGTGCTTCACATTTTTCTCTAATAAACATCCTACAATTATCCATTACTTAAAATTACATTTGCTGGCAGACAGAGAAATCCAAATTTACAAGACTGAACAAATTGTTTAGACCGCAGTTTTGTAACTGGCAGCCTAATTTGTGGGCTTACAGTCCTTCCATTATTCACTTAAGGCAAACTGTGTCATGTTTGGCCTTTTTAGACCTAATAGGCTAGGAATTTTTAAATCAAGACCATTAAAATTGCTGGTACATTATTTGCATTATTAATACTGAGAGATGAAAACACTTAAATTATGTAGATGAAGCACCATTTTCAAGCCTTTCGGGAACTTATTCCCTCACAGGAATTTTTTGCTGTAATGCATTATCATTTAATGCTGTATCAAGCAACTTAAATTTTGCTTACTCAGCACCTAGAAGTACCCACCAAACTTTGACAAAGTAGATGTGTTGGATGGGATGAAATAAAATTCCCTGTCATGAATCTGAAACCACACACAGTTTGGAAAACAAGACAAAGTGGAGATAGGGACAAAATCAAGGTAATTTGTTAATCAAGCAATTCATTTTCCATTATGCAACACAATTTACATAAATCATAATTATTAAGAAAAATATATAAAAAGGAAAAAAAGGAAATCCTGTGCAGCATGCTCTTTCTTTTGATAACTACTATTAGGATTTTCTTTGTCGTACAATGTCTGAAATTTTTGGCTATTTTCAGATGACAGACAGGTAAATCCCAACCTAACGTAAAACAACTGCACTTTAACTCATTACTGCAGGATATAAGGGATCTAAATTTTAAAGGTCTATTCTCTAGAGATATTTATTTTTTTTCATAAAATCCCAAAAAAACAACCTGATCCTCAAGCAAAAGAAAAATAATATTAAAAATCTATAGAGACATAAATCTACAAGAAAAATGTTGTTCTAATATGCAAAAAACTCCATGCCAAGACTCCATTTATCTCAAAACAAAAGCAAAATCTAGTGTGATCTACTTTTGACTACATATTGTGTATGAAAATATATGTATGGGTCATCCAAAGAAGAGCTTTACATTTTATTGGTCCTATTTCTGGGTGCGCTACTCTAATGTAAAATCCACTGTTCAGATTCACAAACATTCTTTGATTTTCAACAAACTTACAAAAATGTTGATATTTTTTTCAGTTTTTCTTCAGGAATGTGCCACTAGAATGCAGTCACCTTGTACTTAATTTTTCTAAACTAATAGATTTATCAAATTTGTAAACTAAAGAATATATTTGGTTTGATACTGAAGTTATCTTAGAAGTTTAAGGGCACACAAAATTTGCAACATTGACAGTAATAAACATGTCTAAAGTCTATTGTTTAAAATGCTAATCTAGCTCTTTCCTTTTACATCAGTTCTACAGTTGTACAAATCCATTTCCATGTTTTCTTCAACTGAAATGTGGAATTCAAGTCACGTCCAGTATCAACATATTTATTTTTTTGCTGGTTTAAATATAAAAACTAGACTTCCTAAAATATCCTTAAGGCATATTATTTTTAATAACAAAGCTGTACAACTGAATTTGCAATTTTCTTTTAAGAGTATCTCCTAATTTATCTCAAAAAATGCAAAATAAAGCTTCTACTTTCCCAGAGTCTTCAGCTGGGAATGGCAATTATAGCATTTAACAGCCACTATTATTGCATCAGATTTTCATTTTCCATTAGAAGGTCAAACTGATAGGTAGAATTACCTATTAATGTCAATTTTTAAAGTACTTTTAATAGAGATTGCCATTAAAAAGGCAACATTTATTTGCAAAATATAGCTACACTCTCATAGCACAGACAAAATCAATAATCAAAATGTAAAAGGATATTTTAGTCAGAAAGAAAATGAATATTTTTTCTTTCTAATACTGAAAAAGTATCATATTTGAGATAAGCAAAAATTATAATTAAGATGAAAATAGCAAATTTAAAAGAATCACTTCTAATTGTAAATCATGTGACTCTGTTTCACAAGATAAATGTGAATTTACAATAAATTATTCATATTCAATTTTCTAAGACCTAGCTGAAAACATTCCTGATATCACTAATGCAGGGCCAATCCCCCCAATTTTATCAATTTCAACAGATATTATTTTCCTTCTAAGGTGTATTCGGGGAAACACAATACAAGAATTGTTGTCACAAAACTCCAAACCTGGGTTCATAATTTAAAAAATAGAGATTATAAACATAACATATTTATGGTAATTTTTGATTGAATCTTTTGCTTCCATGGTTGACTTCAACAACAAAAATTTAAGGGTAAATACAGTCTTTTCAATTATGAGTTTTGTGTTTCTTTTTTTAGCTTTTTAAAGAAGGCCTGTTTAAAATCCTACTAGTATTGGCTTACTACAATCCTGCAGTGCTTCCCTCCACTCATGAAGACATTTATACTCTGATCTAGTAGACTGAAAGCCTGAAAACCAAAAGTTTGTCATGCACAAGTGTACCTAACCCACTTGGAAAAAGCCTTCATAGTACTTTGACCACACAGAAAACAATATTCATGCTTATATGTCACTGCAAAGGTACAAATGGTAGTGAAGAAAACAGACTACAGAATGTCAGTAACAGAAAGAGAATTGTATCCCATTATTAAGCAATAAAGAATAATTAACTCACAAATAATCCCTTTAAGATTCCTATTAACAGAAGCAATAACTATGCTAAAGAAGCAAGTCTTTAACCTTACCCAATAGGCCTTGAAACAATGATTTCAACTTGAGGTTCTGATTTTGATTCTAAAATAATGTTGTAAACTTCTTCATTTGTAGCTCCAGGCAAGGGTTTACCATTCCATTCTAGAACTTCATCCCCTTGAATTTAAAGAGAAGTTTATCTCACTTTCATATTCTTTCACAAAGAATGAAATCTGTATTTTCAAGTAACATAAAAATAATTTAAAATCATGAAAGAGCTGTACTGAAACCTTCAGACGCTTTCCTGCCAAGGTGCTTTTTAGCTGGTTGGCTCCCAGTGCTTAATTTGGCACAAGGATGTTCTGTTCCTTGTGCAAGACTTCATATTTGCAATTATTAAAATTATTGAAGTTTGTACAATTACTCCAAGTTTTACCAACTACCCAAATTTTGGATGTTTTTTATAAGGAAAAAAGTGTTTTTTCTAACTGCAAGGACTCATCCATGCCTTTTTTGTATGCTCCAGTCCCATGCAATAGGACGAACAGACTTTCACTCACTGGAAACATCCAAAACAATAATTTTTTCTGGGAAACAACTTTGGCTCTAAAACTAGAAAAACAGCTTTCATTAAAAAGCCCCCCCCCAAAACCATAGACCAGAAATAGAAAATTAGGATTTCAGCCCAAATGGTTTAAGATTAGTGGAGACAAATTTATTTCCTATAATTATAATATGCATTTAAAATCTATAAACAACTATAATAGTTGGTGCTGTTTTGGTAAGAAAGAAAGAACTAAAAATGCCAAAAAAGTAGAATATTGTTAGAGACTCATCATCCTTTCTGGTTCCTTATTACTATCTGCTTCACACAATTATCCTGAAGCCATCCACATTGGCATTGGAACTTCTGGGTTCTTAAGGCACTACATAGGTACGTTGGTTTGCTAAGACAACATTTGGAAAGTAGTCGCTTAGAGCTATAGTAAAAATATAAACCATTAAGAAGTGACTATGAAAACCGAATGCTGTGCATAATTCTCACTTCCTTTAGAAGCCTGAAAAGTGCCATTAGCACAGCCATTTATTTGTAAGTGCAATATATACATCTAATAGAAATGAAATATTTTAGGACCAATTTTTTGGCTTCTTTTCCATTTTCATTTGTAACAGTTAACACTGAAAGGGACACTAATAAAATCAACTGTGTATGCAGTGTATCATCCTTCAGTGATGTGAATTTTGTTTGCCACAATCAGTTAAAAAAAAAAAAAAAAGTTTGCATTGCTTCTGTGGTGTGTAATAAGCAGCTCCTGACCTAGCAAACAAAAATTTACCAGTGTCACCCAGTCCTCTTACCAGCATTCCTCAGGAGTGTCTTTTGTTTTGCTCACACATCCAAGCAATTAATTAATGTTCATAATAAATTAGAAATGTATGGCATTTCATAATAACATTACAGTATTGTTCTGTATTTAAAAAAATATTACCATAACACATGAAAAATGTTTGCATAAATGAAAGGTTGCATGCAATAGGCCATCACTAAAAGACAGTATCTTTCATATGCAACTGATTGATTTACCTGCTCTGAGATGCCCCACCACATCAGCCAAGCTACCTTTCTTCACTTTGGTAATGAAGGCACCGAGTCGTCCTAATTCTGTCATTTTTCCTCCAACAACCTAAGTTGATCACAAATTTGTGAGTCTCCAAGCCACCAACCAGATGTCACATAGAGCACAAATATATTTGTATGAAAAGTAATCAGTTTTCACATCATTTTTTAAATTACACCTGAATTGCTCATAGGCAAACCTATTGTCAATTTGAGTTTTAGAGAGGCTTAAAGACAAAAAGAAGTAAAGCTGACACAGAATAAAATTGATATTCCTTTTTACTGTGTTTGACCAATCTTATGCAGTTTGCTAAGTACCTACATTTGTTGCAGAAAGAACACTCCTCAATAAATAACCAGGCAAATTCACTTTTTACAAATAATTGTCTGTCACGTACTCAAATTTAAATGGCAAGTGCACATCATTTCAAGCATATGAAATCCCAAAATGCAGCTGGTACATCAATTGAAAACTCAGCAAATCACTACTATCAAACATGGGTAACGAGTTCACAAGATGCTGATGATGCTAAAACATAGGCACTCTCATCCAAGAACATGACAGGACAAACCAGCAACTTCCGGCTTTAGTAGAGCAGAAGAGAAACTGAAACTGAAGATCTGTTTTTGAGGATGACTACAGGATACAGGGATGAGGATTGGAAAAAAACCACATGCTCTCAAGAGGGCCAGATTTTAAATAATATACAATGAAAATGTAGTCTTGCTGACTTGGTATCTCTTTAACTATCTTACGTTGCAATCACAAAAATTAGCAGGAGTTTTAATATTAAAAAAGTATCCAGAAGCCTATCTGCCAACAATATTGTCACATGATAGTGTGTAAAATTCATCAGTGAGGACCTCAGACCACATTACATACAACTGAAACTTGAAAAATCAAAGAGAAACAACTCCACAACCTACATTTGATTTGAAAAATCAAAGAGAAACAACTCTACAATCGACATTTCCTACTTGGCCCAACCTTTTTTTCTAACATATTCAAATAGAATTGTTTGCTGGCAGCAAAGATGAGCTTTGTGCTATAGACAACTAAACATTTAGTAGAATGAAGCTGTTTTCATCTTTTGTATTACCATGTCACACTATCTCATTCCAAGGTGGGACTATTTCAGACCTTGCATTCTTTCTGTTGTTCTCAGTGGAAAGAGGAGGGCACCCAAATTAAATTCCATCAGTCATCTTTGTTGCCCCATAGATTTAAAAATATACAGAGAGAGAAAAATACTTGAACTGGTACACTGTATTCCCCACTAGCTTCAGAAACAGAACTCTCTTTTAAGTGTTCTGGCAATTCAGACACATGAACCTAAAAGTCTGCTAAAATTGTAAATTAGGGATTTAAATAAATTGGACAGTGTTGCCAATATATCAATTCTGGGGTACTAGATTAACTGGAATTACATTTAATATAACCTCTACCATGATTTAAGAGGATTTTTGTGAAATATTTGGTTTCTTTCTACAAAATTTCTGTTTTCAAATGGCTGTGTGGCTTTTAAACACTGACCTTGTACGAATTTGCATCCAGATGACATTTATGTATGGGGATAATAACATGAATTACTTGACTAAATTGCAAACAGCAGAGCTAGAAAAGGCAAGACTCCATTAATGCCATGTGTAGTTACATGTCTTGCAGACAGGAAGCTGAATGAAGGTACCCTTTTTAATCAAAATGGTCCAGCCATTTTGTCATGGATGACTGAAGACAGTATAGAAGGAGTAAATGTATTTATAGTCATAATTTATTTGTATAACTTTCAAAATTTAGGAAAAGAGAGGAATACACTTTTTGTCAAAAAACTATATGATTGGAGAGTCCTCTGATTTAATGTGTTACACCTGTATGCCTAAGGTCAGTGGCACTTTTGTTCATTTAGCACATCAATCATGTAACACTTACTTTTAGCCCCAGTAATGCACCTGATTCTTTAGGCATGGTTGTTCTCTTGTTGAGAATAACACGCCCAATTAAGCGATCTCCCTCTTTGGAAGGCTGCCACGTCACGGGATGCTGTTAAAAAACAAGCAATTAAATTGAATTGGAATTTTAAAAGTGCGACCATCCTCCAGGATTTACATGTACATGTATAAACCAATAAAATTACTGTATCATCATGTCACAGTTGACACAAACATCCTTCAGATGTGTTACATAATGCACCTGAGTTTTCTATGAGTATATCACTTGGACCCTGGCTACAGTAAACATTTATGCCTCTTGTAAGAAAATCTCTGCATTAAGTCTACAGATAGAACTATAATCCAGTTCAAACTTCAGTGCAATTAAACATTTTAAACACATCTTAGAGAATAAAATTAAATATTTATTTTTCAATTGCACAGCTCTGAAAAGCACTTTCAGAAATTCTGTTCTTTAGAATAACACATGATATGCAGGTCTACTATATGAGGGTTCATTATATAATAAAATCAAAATTATGGTTTCCAACTCCAAGTCTTAAAAAAAATCACTAATCTTTCCCAGAGCAGCATCACATTCACAACTGCTTTTTTTTGGTTCATAGTGAAATTAAGTGTCATGTTTATAAAGGAATTAAAGTCAAGTTAACATTCAGGCAATTTTACAAATATGCATTTTGGTAAAACTTTCTTTCTGATTTCCATTTCCTTGGTAGTCTAGAACAAATTTTCATATGATTTGTATAGAATATTTTTTTACAATCAAATATCTATTCTGGACTGAAATAATTAGCAAACATTTTAATTTATACTTATGAATCCCTATTTTTCTATTTCTTACCGAGCTAATAGGGGACGTCTCCCTGCTGTGCCACGTGGCAGGATCCAGCCAGTAATAATCCAAGTCACCTGGAAGAATATGAATAGAAAGAAATGTGTAATCTCTCAAACAGAGAAAGATGTACGAATTATTACTTCTGCATGCATTAATTTTAAAGTGCAATCGTTTGATGAAGCAAATACAAAATTGATATTATTATTCCAATCAATACGTCAATTTAAATTAATATAAAATAATGCATTTAATTGGACTTCTTGTTTTTCATGAATTGCACCTTAGAATTGGTTGTGCACACTGTCTATTTTTACCTTTGCTCAGTCCAAGAATGGACCCCAAAGCATCACATTCACAGCCCTCCTCCTCCCCACCATCTCCATAGCAAACACACAGGACCACAGCTAATGATGACACGAGAGGGAATATTCCACAAAATGGGCACTTAGCTATAGTTAAGGACAGAACGGCCAACCACGCTCTAGAATCTGCAGAGATCAATGTTGTGACAACAGGCACTGTACAGAGGGAGAGGCACAGGAGCAGGAAATAGAGTGCCAGAGGGAACAGCCACACAAATACAGCAAATAGTACCAACTGCAGGTACAAAGCTGCAATCTTCTCTTTCACTTGGGACAAACTTATATGCTGTGTACCTCAAGAAAAAGACCATGAATTACAGTGGTCTGGAAGCCTATCAGGACAAGGATGGCATTTTTGGCAATATATCTTCAATATCTTGCTTTATAGAACAGATCCCTATAACACTATTGTTAGATGCCTGTGTTCTAGTTAAGAGCAGAGATCTAATAGAAGCCCAAACAGAGCATGCAAGGGAGAAGATACCTTTACGTGCAGAGATTTTTTTTTAATTCTTTCTCTACAAATACTTAGATGCAAATTATGAAATACAAGTTGTAACATTCTCTGTAACTCATACTACCTTTAATAGCTTACCATCTACATGATCATATGCCCACGTTTATTTTTAAACAGCATATTACTATCATAAGCATAAGTTCATGAGGCAGTTTGTGGTTTCATTAGCTACTGCAGTTCTGCAGATTTGGAAAACACATTAAATCACATTAAAGATCTTTCACTTTTATTTTTAGGATCCTTCCTTGTGCCTCTGTAAACTTCAAAATTACCAGAAAAACAACAAACCCACAAACTACCCTGACACCTGCAGTGCTGGCAGTAAGCTCAAATCTATGGTACAGAGCTCCCCAAGTTTCAGTAATGGACTCAACAGTAACACCAAAAATCAACAGTCTCCTGTGTGGGCTAATCTGCCACATGCCAAACACAACACACTTTGTCTTCTTGTTTTAGAGTTATTTGCTTAGCAATAGAGAAATGTTCAGGAGGGAATAAATGTCAGCTGTAACACGCAGATGAATGTATCCAAGTCCTCAAACACATTTCTGCTGACCCTCATTGTTCCCTGCTTTCTTTTCCTCCCTTCCTAGATGCAGCTTCTTGCTCCTAGTTTCCTTGCTGGTCTTCCTCCAGGTTACTGCAGATCCATGACCATTTAATTCATGCACCTAGCATCCTTCTCCATCAAGTCCCTGCTGTAGCAAGATCCTCTCATACATCTTCTGTCTTGTCTAACCTGCTGATTTTCCTGTTCTCACCATCTACCTACCCTTTGCTGCCTCTTCTTCCCTGCCCTTTTTTTTCTGTCAACATCTGCTTCTGGCTTTAGTGTCCTTTCTTAAGGTTCTGTATTTTAATCCCTCTTTAACCTCAAATCCTTTGATGCTAAGCTACATTCCTGCACCCTCCTTCCCACATCTAAACCTTTAGGTGTCTGTCCCTTTCCCCCCTTCTGTCTGCAGAAGCTGGCCACAACACCAACTCCCTCACCCTCTGCTTTCAAAAGCTGAGAGCAGGATCTGCACTGCAAATGCAGCTCTACTGAGCTGGAACATGAAAGATATGCTCAGAAGCTATAAAGGCAGCTATCAAATCAAACATCTTGACTGAATGTCACTGAAAGTGGTAAGTCTACCATTTGGTGAATAATTTAAAAGATGCAAGAATATGTGAACTGAGGAGAGAAAAGTACACAATCTTTAAAAATGACTCAATTTTAAGATTTCCATTAAAATTCAGTATGATACAGACCACTGGCACACAAACATCTGGGGCAATTTACAACTATAAAAAAGATTATACAATGGAAAATGTCAGTTAATCTATTCATAAACACTCTTCAAATAGGACATAAAAGTTAAGACACAAATGAAAAAACTCCCCAAATGGGCATTAAAAATATTTTATGCCAGCAACACTGATACTAGGGACATCTGCAGTTCAATACTCTGTTATATCTTTGAAAATAATTTCTCCTTGGTCATCCTATGTCATCGCTGCTTCTTCGCCTTATGTTTATTTATGTCATGCTTGCACTGCAATTATCCAGAACTCACTCTGTTTAACTACACAAAATATCTTCACTGCAGCAGCATTACAGAGATCCAGGAATAGGTAAATAACATGCAAAAACTCACTAAGAGCATAGCTTCAAAATTTCAGGTTTTCTCCAGAAAACCCCCACCAAAACTGAAAACAAAAATCCCTACACACAGAGAACACTCTCCATTGGTAAAAGTCATTAAAAACAAGTAGTAAAACAAACAAAAAAAAAAAGACATTAAAGGGAGGGAAAAACTAATTTTATAAGGAGCAAATAATAGGCTTAAACTGCTTTTCAATACTTTTAAAACCATTCTATAAAAACATGAACAACTTAAAAATAATAAGCTCCCATGAAAATATACATGTACTGTAATATTATTTTTGTACACTACTGATGTATTTCCAAAACATATTATTAAAAATGCATTTGCAGTTTTAATGTTTGATTTCCTTAAGACCAACTGAGTAAAACAGACTATTTGTAAATATTTGTAAAACCTTATTTCCTAAGGGAAGAATTAAGAAGTTGTATCCTAACAGCAAGGAAATGTTTTTCCTATTAACATGCTGCCGCTCAATTACTTTACTCTTGGATGCACATGGATGCAATAATAACTTACAAGACACAAATGTGTTGAGCTTTTTCCACGAATCTTTTGCAGCCTACCATCAAAATTCAAGATGGGGAGTAAAACTCTTAATAAAATCTCATTGTTTCTATATCCACAATAAGTGTGCTTTCAAAATAAAGGGAAAGCTAACTCGTACCATTAAAAATCCATTTTCTCGAAAATACTTTGTCTTCAACAGCACTCTCCAATCAAAAACTAATGCTGGGATACTGTGATTTCAAGTGACATCCTGAAAAGCTGAGAAGTTCTGGAAAAATCAGTTTTGTCCCTCTTGCAAAGCCAAAACAAGCACAACATATGAAAGGGTCTGTTATTGTGTATGAACAGTCATGCTGATTTTCAAAGAATCTTGAATACTGAGGATAAAATACCCCAAGATGTTTTCCCAATCCATCCAAACCATATTCAGAGACTACTGACAATCAGCAAAGAATGTGCTTCAGTGATTTCCTCAAATCCCTATGTGCTGGATTTGCAGGAGTTACTTAAGACAACAAGCAGAATCTTATTATAAGAGTCAGCCCGTGTTAGGCACTTAATTTACCATTAGCAGTATGTATCTGCTAATTAATGCAGCAGTTCCATGAGATAACTAAGAAACTTAGATAAATATTTTTCAGAGGCTACATCTAAAATTACTCTGCAAAGTGAACACTCAGACTACGTCTCTCTAACCCATAGAATCACAGAATGGCTTGGGCTGGAAAAGATCTTAAAGATCATTTAGACAATTCCAACCACATCTTCCACTAGACCAGGTTGCTCCTAGCCCCATCCAACCTGACTTTGAACACTGCCAGGGAAGGGGCATCCACAACTTCTCTGGGCAACCTGTTCCAGCACCTCATCCCATTCACAGTCAAGATCTTATCTAAATATGCTCTTTTTCAGTTTGAAGCCATTCTCCTGTGTCCCATCACTATAATCACTTGTAAAAAGTTCTTCTGCAGGTTTGTTGTAGTCCTCCTTCAGGTAGTGAAGAGCTATAGAAGGTCTTGCCAGAGCCTCCTCTCCAGGATGAACAACCCCAACTCTCTCAGCCTGTCTTCATAGGAGACATGCTTCCATCCTCTGACCATCCCTACAGCCTTCTCTGGACTCACTCCAGCAAGTCCATATCAGCATATGTCAGGAGCCCAGACTTGGATGCAGCACTCCAAGTGGTATCTCATCACAGTGGAGGAGAGGGACAGAATCACCTCCCTCAACCTGCTGGCCATGCTGCTTTTGAGGCAGCCCAGGATGTATTTGGCTTTTGAGGCTACAAGCTGCCAGCTCACGTTGAGCTTTTCATTCACCAACACCTCTCAAGTTCCTCTCCTCAGGACTGCTCTCAATCTATTCCCCACCCAGTCTGTACTTGGGGTCTGTTGATCTAATCCATCTCTCTCCAGTTTAGAGACAGGGATGCAATATATGAGACAGTGTCAAATTCCTTGCACAAGTCCAGGTAGCTGATGTCACTCTTTCTTTATGCTGTAACCTCACTGTAGAAGGCAACTAAATTGGTCATGCACTATTTGCCTTTAGTGAAGCCTTGTTGGCTCTCATCAATCACCTTCTTATTTTCCAGTTTCCTTAGCACAGTTTCCAGGATGATCTGCTCTATGATTTTACTGGGCACAAAGGTCAGGCTGGCCTGTAGTTCCCAATATCTCCTTTTTTTTTTTTTTGTCTTTTTAAAAATGAGGGTTATGTTTCCACTTTTCCAGGCAGTGGGAACCTCATCAGATTGCTACAACTTCAGAAATAAGATAGATAGTGGCTTAACCATTTCATCTACCAGTTTCTCAGGAGCAGCAGATGCATCTCATCAGGCCCCATGGGCTTTTCCACCTGAATGTTCCTTAGATGGTCTCAAACCTGATCTGCTAGAGTGGGCACTTTCTAGATCCCCCAGTTCCTGCAGCCTGGGCAGTGTGGCTGGAGCAACTCTCAGTGAAGACTAAGGGAAAAAGTAATTCAGTACCTCAGCCTTCTCCATATTCCAATCAGGTCTCCCCCTTCCTTCTGGA